TCTTCGAGGCAGTCGGTGGTTAGGCATACGCAGCACATGTCCCAACCACCTCAACTGATGAAGTTTCATTACTTCATCTATTGATCTGCCATCCTTATCTAGCACTTGTTTCCTAACGACAGCATTGCTTACTCGGTTGTCCCAGGATACACGAACAATGCTTCGAAGACACCTATGATCGAATGCTAATAACCTACGAACATCTACTCTTAACAGACATGTTTCCCAGCTATGTAGGAGAACGGAGCGAACTGCTGCACAGTACACCCGTCTTTTGGTTAGCGAACGGATATCTCGCCTGCGCCATAAATGACGCAGGTTGGCAAAAGCCAATCGAGCTTTGTGTATCCGCGTTGAGATTTTGTCAGTCACCAGACTATCAGCGCTGATGACACTCCCTAGGTAAGTGAAGTGATCAACACACTCGACTATTTCACTCCCTATCACTAGTTCAGGTGACGATGCTACCCAATCTTGAGCACTATCCCGCTCACTGTGATTTTAGAACAGTTAGTTAGTATGCCTCGTCGTCTAAGAGATTTTTAAACCCCGGCAAAGCGTGTTAACCTGTAGTAGTTGGTCAGAAATAATTAACTGATGAAGAATATCGTGTTAAAAAAGGTCCTCGCTTATTGATATTGTGTCTACAAATCCTTCCTTACCTAAATTATTTACACATGTTTCAGAAAAACCAAATCCTTAGCTCTTAAGTAAAATGTAATGCATCCAAGTTCTTGTCTCTTTCCTTATTTGAGTTTCTTCTTTTTTTCCATTAGGTACGACTTGCTGTTCAATACGAGTCAATGCCATGTGGAAAGGAATCAGTAAAACCTGTCCCATCGGTAACATTGTTACTGCCAGTCGCGGACATTAACAACACATCTGGATCATCATCTGTCTGTCCGAATGACATAGATATCAGTGAATCACTGTTGTCTAATGGTTTAGTGTTTGTTGAACCAATTCAACCTCAATTTGTAAAACGGCTACCACGTAATCTACTGCAAAAGTATCTGGATGCACAATCATTAGCCAAAAAAGAGCGTAAGAACATTTGGCGTTATGGTGATTTCCGTGCAGATGTGGACCAGTTGTGATATGATATATACAACACTGCGCTGCGCAATTAGTCAAAACCAACCAATTATGTGCCTTTTTTTAAATTAAATACCGGATGATTATCAATGTTGTTCTAGGAATACAATTGATTGTTGTTGTATTGTTGTATGATGGTCTTGGGATTGATTATTTCTGGTAATTTCTTTTTTTTCAGGTACTTATTGATTTTTTTTTCTTTTTTTTGGTAATGTAAAAAATTGGTCTCCTTTTCATTTCTCCAATGTCTGTCTATGTCGTCTATGCTTTATTGTCTATTGAACTCCTTTTTGTGTATAATGTCAAAATAATGAATGTCATGTGTGGAGGAACTAGTGGTGGGTGTCCTTGTTCGTCTACTACTACTACTACTAGTACTTTGACTTTTTTTTTCTACTTTAGTCAATATATGTATTTTTGTTTTTTTCGTGTAAAATCAATCTATGAAGCACTATTTATTGTGTCTGTGGCAATTAATTGTGTTGATTATTATTATTATACCAAACTGTCCATAAACAAAAAAAGCTTTCTGTACTTAGTGACGTGTTTATGTTTACACAAGTGAAGAAAAAAAACCTGTGATTATTTGTTTTGGATGTTTGTTTGTATTTATTGACACGATCACAAATGCATGCATTCATTGCATTTGATCTTCTTCATATAAAGCCTTGACAACATACTTTCTAACTGTGTCAATGACACTTACTTACTTACGCACGCACGCCTGTTACCCCCAATGGAGCATAGGCCGCCAACCAGTTTTCTCCAACCAACTCTGTTCTGGGCTTCCCTCTCCAGTTATGTCCAATGTTTGTTCATACCGCTCATATCTTTCTCTATTTCTCGGCGTAATGTATTCTTTGGCCTTCCTCTTTTCCTTTTGCCTTGAGGGTTCCATGTGAGGGCTTCTTATCTCGTGACACAGTTAGGTGCTTTTCGTAGTGTGTGTCCTATCCACTTCCATCGCTTCTTCCTGATTTCCTCCATTGGAATCTGGTTTGTTCTCTCCCACAGTTCGTTGTTGCTGATGGTGTTCGGCCAACGAATACGAAGTATTTTGCGTAGACAACTGTTAACAAACACTTGTATCTTCTTGATGATAGCTTTGGTAGTTCTCCAAGTTTCCGCTCCATACAGTAGAACTGTGTTGACATTTGTATTGAAAATCCTGATTTTGGTTTTGGTTGAAAGTTGTTTGGAGATCCAGATATGTAAAGGTGTTAACGTCCTCCAAGGCATCTCCATCAAGAGTGATTTGATTGGTGCATGTTGTGTTGCATCGGAGAATTTTGCTTTTTCCTTTATGTACGTTGAGACCTACTGCTGCTACACTGGTCGTCTTCTCTTGCATTTGTTGTGTCAATGACACACTTCTTCAGATGAATTATTCAGTAAGTTGTTGAATTGTAGTGTAAGTAGTTATAGTCGTAAACAACTGGATACATTCGTTATTGTCATATCGCATATCTCTACAACTAGGTGAAGTTGGTGACATGAATAATGCCGGAGTAATGGGATTAGTAGCGGTATCAGCAGTGTTAGTTAAAACATTGGTTGTGAAGACGGCATGTTTCGAGCAGGCGAAGGAGAGCATGCAATAATTTGAAAACTCGGAATCGAACCAGGGATAAAAAATGCATCTGCGCCACTGGAACCGATTACGATAATCGAATGTATGCCGCCCAGCTGGTTTGAACCCCATTAACATCGTCTAGATCAACAGTTAAGGCTAAAGACGTGAAGATGTAAATTTGCTACTCGTGCTTATTCTTCGGGGCTTGGAATAAGCGCCCTGCTCCTCCGGTAATGGTGTTGGGTCAAGTGAGAGATATCATTGCCCAGATAGATGCTAGTTACTTATCACGCTCAAACAGGGGAAGGGAATCCGGAAAATGATATCTTGGTACCTCCGACTACGCGTTAGCATGTTGCAGCTAGATAGCATTGTCTCATCGTACGATACTCAGGCTATGCAGGGGATTTTTATTCTGTTGGTAATCAATGTCGATAGCTACATTGTGTATTTTGAACTCCCTAACTGCCATGTACTTCTATACGACTTGTAGTCTGCTGCTCAAGGGATCGGTGATTCTTGGGACCAGGTAACACTTCATGTGATGAAATTACTGGTTCCTTAAAGATAACGAACATCGTATAAACTGATCTTGGGAATATATCCTCTTACGGAAAACGCTCGCTTACTTGCCTGGGGCGAGTCCTAAGCATAACCACTGTAGTATCACTTGAACTATCGAACAAACTCTTCCTGGATAGTTCGAAGCACATGATCCAGCATATCGTGTTGTAATGACCAAATGAATTATCCCAATTGGTGACTGTCTAGAATCAACAGGATCCCAAGGGCACATTAGTAAAGATGGGACGGAGAAATATGGAGTGGCAATACTGCCTTGTGGGCCAAATTATTAAGTGCCATTGATTGGTCCGCATAAGTCAGATTAAGATGACGAGTTCGCTTTCCCTCTAACTAGATGTAGTGTTTGATACCAAGAATATAGGAAATCTGAATTTGATCACAATCCTAAATGGAAACTTGAGACAATTTACGCATGGTTTTTTGAGTAAGCAGGTTCAATATCCAAATCTTTATTTCATGAGTTTCCTAGAACACTAACATTAGAAATTTCAAATGAATTTTAGTAAGTGTTCAAATAAATTTATAGGTAAACGTGTTTTATAGTCAAACACAACACCGATGCATATTTGATTGACTAGTTCTTCCACCTTTTGACACCCACTGGCTGTATCTTTGGTTTGCAAGTAATTATGAATTGGCTACAATCCTTCACGCATTGCGGAAAGCACCCAACTACGTCAAAAGACAAGTGTGCCCTCACTTGGAACCCTTAAGGTCAAAGGAAAAGAGGAAGACCACGAGACAAATTACGCCGAGAAATAGAGGAAAATATGGGAGGAATGAACAAAAATTCGATAGAACTGCAAAGGAAGGCCTAGAACATGGCAGGTTGAAAAATACTGGTTGGCGGTCTATGCTCTATTAGGTGAGTAAGTAATAAATTACCCATTACAGTAACAAATCATTTTTATTTCTCAAATCTTTTAGAAATCCTGGTTTATTAAATTTTTTACTCCTAAATATATATTCGAAATAAATCAAGAGTAGATTCTTGTACCTACATATATCCTGTGTGGATTTATTTAAACTGTGTATATTGATTGATTGAACTTTGTTGACCAAAAAACCTCAAAAGAGACAACATATTCTAAGTATTACTTACCCTTGATGACACAAGAACTCATATTTAAAAATATGAAATTAATTAAAAGTCAATTAGATTAAGTATAATTGACAAATTTTGAAGAGAGCTGGATATTAAGTGTAAATATCTCAATTTGATTGGTATTCAAGTGTCTACATTAACCGGAAATCATTTCACTATAGGTATGAAGAATGTCAAGGTTGTCTGTCTGCAAACAAAGACGTGATTTAGCAACTAAAAACTAGTTTAGTTTAAAAACAGTATCTCTACTAATGAATTGATGTTATAATCATGACCTTAGGTCGGTTTTGTTTTATTGGTTTATAGATCATGGGTATTGTAAACGTCTAAAAGGTTATTTTTATTTAGTAAATTCAACCATTTGGCCCATTCTAAGCTCAATTATAGAGTTAGACATTAACACCGTTGGATGCCGGCCAAGTGGTCCGACGGTAAGGCGTTCGCTTACAATGCCGAAGGTCCCGGGTTCGAATCCTGCGAGGAGTAGGATTCGAGGGTGCGCACTGCTGATGAGTCTCATACCAGGACGAAACGGCTGTCCAGTGCTTCCAATGGTGGTCTAACAGTGATTGATTCATGATTTCGAATGTGTCAATTAAAGTTAACAATTTACCAGTTAACTTCGCTTGACCAGAATATAACTGTTACAAATAGTCGACGAATTCGTGAAATGACAGTCAATAATGAGAAATTATGATTTTCCAGATGTTCATCAAAACATAAAGGAACTGTACCTATTAATCTTGTATGGCGACCAAGAGTTCGAACGTGATTAATTTTCAGATGTATTTATGCTTGCTCATTTAAACACAGAGTTGGTTTTTATTCCAAAGCTTCCAATTATTTGGAATTATTTCTCTTCAAATGTAGTCACACTTCGTTCATTTTTATTCTTGCTGCATCGAAATCATGCAGCTGGACGATCTGGCTCTTCTATCGCACACGCAACAACAAATGCAAGAGAAGATGACTAGTGTAGCTGCAGCAGGTCTCAACGTAACACAACACTCGCCAGCCAAATCACACTTGATGGAGATGCTTTGGAGGACGTAAAATCCTTTACATATTTAGGCAGCATCATTGACGAGCGCGGTAGATCTGATGCAGATGTGAAGGCGCGGGACTACAAAGCAAGGGAACCACTTCTACAATGGAACAACATCTGGAACTTCAAGCAACTACCAACCCAAAACCAAAGTCAGAATTTGCAGTACAAATGTCAAGACTGTTCTACTATATGGAGCGGAGACTTGGAAAACTACCTAAGCCATCATCCAGAAGATACAAGTGTTTATTAACAGTACTGCAGATCCGTTGGTCAGACACCATCAGCAACAACCTACTATGAGAAAGAACAAACCAGATTCCAACCGAAGAAATTATGAAAAAGCGCTAGAAGTGGATAAAAAAACACTGAGAAAACCACCTAACTGTGTCACAAGACAAGTCCTCACATGGAAACCTCAAGACCAAAGGAAAAGACGAAGGCCAAGGAACACATTAACGTCGAGAAATGGAGACGGACGTGAGACGAATAAACAAGAATTCAACAGAACTGTAAAGGGAAGCCCAGGACAGAGTAGGTTGGAGAATATTGGTCAGCGGCCTGTGCTCTATTGGGAGTAATAGGCGTAAGTAAATGCATAGAAACGATGTCTTGTGATTCATAATCACGCCTAGTCTTACGTTGACATTGACTGAACCTATCATATCAGGTAAACGTATTGGATTTGATTAGC